CAGAAAAGGAAATGCGAGGAATTTTTTCTTAGCTCTTTCTTTTCTTTGGAAGAGGCGATGAGAGCTGCGACCCTTAGGGTTTTTTCTTATCTTCGTCACTTCGGTGCGGGATGTTTCTTGGCTTCCACGCTGCACTCTGAAAGGGGGTCCCGCACGAGGTGGCTGCGAACGGTGGTGCAGCGCACTTTTGTTGTCTGTTAAAAGCTCATGGCGGTGTCATGTCAGGCCTTTCTTTAACGGAGGACCACTGTTGCGCAACTAAGATTTTGTGCAATCACAATTCCGCTAACTGCAATGAACACCTATCGGCAGGACGACGCAAGACAAAAATGTGTTGGCGTAATGTAGCCAGGAACGCTTCGTGGGAAATATGAACTTCGTGGTCAGCAAAAGTGGCTATGGCATGTTAGTAACTAAAGCTGGTAGTGCATACCGCGTTTTTCGCACACAAACAGAGTGAACGTTCTGCGAATGATGCCATTGGCAACGACCACATTGGTTGCCATTCGCCGTAAGATCGAGCGGAGTCAACACCCAGCGGCAACAGGTTGAAGCGTGCAAGTGTGCATTGTTTCGTGCGTTGTCTGCTAGCCACGTCGTGTTTCAATGTGCGCGTACGTCATACAAGTTTTAAAGTGTGGTTTGCCCGGTCATGTCAGTGCGAATGTAACTGCTTTTACGTATGCATGAAACGATGTATGAAAGCATTTGGTCTTGCTCGGCTGCTAATGCATCGTAATAAGATCGACGATTGCAACTTTCCAGAGTGCTGTTTATTGTCGTCGTATCCTCCATTCACTAGAATAATTTCATAGTGGGTACTGCTTTCTGCTTCAAGCACATCGTGAAATGCTCTTCGCGTCCTCTCAAACATGAGGACAGTTAAATGGTATGTGAATGCTGCGTTTTATTGAATAGAAACGAGGCTCCCGGCCACTCCCTTGCGTGCTGTTTGTAAATGTACAGCTATGGCACTGTAGTTTATAGATTATGCAAAGAGCCTCAGTTGTGTTTATTTGGCCGTGGTACCACTATGTAGAGATATTACTATCAGATAAAATGTGACACTTTGATACTTAAACTGTGCCTAAAACGGAGTTGTCGTGCGCAATCGTGTGTTTGGATTGTTAAGGAGCCCAGACGTGCAAAGTTAATTCAGAAGACATGCATGACATATAATGTATAATTTCACTGAAAGTCTTATCTATTTTACATTGTCTTGGGCATTTGTGTGGCATTGTTAGTGACAAACAGAAGGTAGCGGCTCTTTTTGTCTCTTTTTTTTTTGTCTGAAAAAAAAAATGCTTGGCCATTAGCCAGTGCTTTATTGTAGCACTGTCATGTACGTAATGCATGAACAAAAGCTTTTTGCTGAACTCTTATACAAGGTTTTTATACTTTTACATGTGCAAGAACATGTGCGTATACGTGGTAGGCACAGTGTATCGCAAAGCGCTGTCAGCCACTAAGCTTTCCTGACTAGACTTATCGACTGTCCCTCATTTCATGGTGAACAGAATGAGAAAAAATGCACATGCGTATAAGGCGCGAATGGTGGTACTGAACTAATCGCATAGATACGTGGGCTTTCTGTGATCTTACTTTCTTTTTTTGTTTTATGCAGATGAGAAAGAAGTAAATAAGTAGTTCAACGACGCTACAGCAGTGCGTAGCAGGCGGAACACAAGCTAACCACATACAAACAACACAGCAAAGACGTGAGTCGTGAAAGCACGAAGCGCGCATGATAATGTTGCATAGGCTTCGTGCACCGATTCAGTAGAGATGAGCGTAGATATTATCAGTAAACTGCCGTTAAGACCTTTTATTCGCCGATAATCGGCTCAGACATACTTGTAACGAAGCGCCGCTGCATGTATTTGTACACGCACACCGCCGACTGCCTATCCACACTTGCGCGGGGATGGTGCTGCCACCTATAGCTCGATATCGCCGCGAATAGCTACGGCACATAAAACATTACTCTGTCTTGAAGTTGCGTTAGTTGCGTTGTTCCGGCGATAGATATCCAATGCTGTCGCCGGATCAACGGGAATGCGTCACTGTTTATCCGGTAGAAGGCGCCTTGCAAGAGAGCCGAGATGATGTGCCTTAAACCTAACCCCCACCGAAAACAAAAACAAAACGAGAGAGAGAGCTAGGAGGCGTAGCAGGGCTGGGAAATTAATTGGCCTTGTTTTAATCCATGCACAACACGGCTGAAACCACCTTGGTGCACTGCGGAAAAGCATAATATAATTTAGAAGGGGCTGTTAGCAATACTGACAGGACAGCAAATTTAGTTCAATTACTCATGCATGTATACTACCGCATAATGGCGAGTACTAGTATGATTGCTGACGTCTCAAAAAGTTACTGGCAATCATTTGAAGCAGTGTGTGATACTTTTGCTGCCCTTGAAAAAAAGAACTGTGCAAGGTTTTTTTTTTTTTTGGTTTGTTTGGCCACACCTATTGAATTTCAAGTTCGTCAGCTTAGCAGATCCCTGTTTTAATTCATGGATTCTGTCAAAGTATTTGACAGACGTGACAAGTGCTTATGTGGACTTTATGATTTTTTGCTTAGTGGGGTAGATCGAAATACTAGTTTTATTGAAACTGCAGTGCTCATGTTTACTCTGTATGGTTTAAGTGATGTTGAACATACTTTTTTTTTCTAAATATAAGCGATCTTTGCTTCAAATTTGGTCTTTTGTAATAAAAAATTATGTTTATTTCCCGTAACCTGCTCCAAATTTGCATTTTAGTGTTCTAAAAGTAAGATTCTGCTGCTCCAGAAATTACTCCAAGTTTTATTTCGGCTGTTGTACCCCCTGATTAGTTACATAATGCCTTAGCATTGTAGTCGTTTGTTAGTATGGGCAGAAGTGTGGTTTGATCGTTGGTTGATTGGCATGGCTTGTCCATTGGCAGAATAAGGACTGTTGGGGTCATGCCATGACATGAGGCGTAGGCTGGGGCTCCATATGAACTCAGTGGTGTTCAAGTAAATTCTCCACCGATTGTTTTTGCCAGTTATCAGGTGATTCTCGTAGGTGATGCTACAATAACTTCTTTAATTTGGCAGAAGCGAATTGAGAGCCAGATATACATCATAGATGCCATCTTTTGATATTCCCTCTTAGGAAAACAACACAATAAAAATCTGAGAAAAGTTCGAATAGCAAGGTGCAGTGTTTGCAGCAGCTTACTGACAAAGTCAATATTAGGGGTGCGTAAATATCCTAAAGTTTTGAATATTCGTTGAATATTGCAATAGTAATATTCATGTTCAATTCTAATACCACATATTCAAAAGTTTCCATTATCCAAAGTAATTCGAATGTTTAATGTTTTTTAATTTTGGCTGCACATGTTACTGTAAAGAACTTTCAATTTTGCACCTTTATGATAAGTGTTTTAACAGTAGATTATGCAGTGATTACTGCGATTTCAGTGCAGTGCTGCGATAGCTGTACGGAAATGCACAGGAGCAAGATAACGGCTACTGACAAACACGCCGGCACATCATAGCGACAGATCTACCTGCCCTAAACATCTTTAGAAAATCTACTAGATGATGAACGGCCTCCTTCGCCGTAAGTGAGTTTTAGCAGTTTAGCGCTGTTACCGCTCTCGTATAAGCGTACTGTAAGTGTACCGAATGCGCGCCGTTCGCTGTCGCACCCTTGTGTGCGGGACCACTTCAATAAAGTGTGCATCGCTTGTGGAAATCAAGGCAACTCGCTGCCGTTGCATTGGCCTTAAAAAATACTCATCGCACCTTTGCACAGTCTTTAGCTGATCGAGCACAAAGAAAAAATGTGACTGCGCAAGGGAAAATGCACTCGTATATAGCGAGCGGCACTGACGGAGTGAGCTTAGTAGGCGACGCACTGTATGCAACTATCTTAGGACAAACAGCTTGACGATGCAGGTAACGCGTATCACGTGTAGCTGCGTCTATTTATGGTCATGATTCGCCACAAAGCACGCGTTATTGAAAGCGCGACTAGTATTTCGTCAGCTGTCAGAATGTATTACCTGTCATAGTACTGAAAGGATTTTATGGTAACACGTGATTATTAGAATGAGCTGGACTGTTTTGCTGCTCAATAGCAAACAAAGAAAAGGACATGCACTTTCGTTAACGTTAAAATGGCTTTATTACATACATTCCTATGTTGTTAACGGTGATGCACATCAGGTGACGAAAAGTTGAGGCAGTTACTGCGTAGTGCCTTTGGGAATCTGTCGTATATCTGCACCACACTCGAGTGGCATCGTATTCTGCAATCAATCCTCCGTATAATGGGGTGCCATTTAGTCGCATAATTATATCATCTATCTCGCATGCCTTCCTTGTGTTATCCCCAGTACTTTGTGGTCACGATCGTGCGGCTATGGGTATGACATTACAGCACTCTTGATAGACAAATGGAATTGAAATATTACTGGCGGAAAAAAATCGCATCTCTTGTTTACTCAATATTCGATTCGTATGCAAAGCTATTTTTTCGTATTCGATTTGTATTAGAAGAGTTTGATATTGGCACACTCCTAGTTAATATGTAAACGGTAAACTAAAGTTTCTCGCGCTTTTGTAAAAGTCACCCATAGTTACCCGGCATATATGTGGTAAGTCTGAATCGATCTCACTTCTCAGTGTTACTGCTGTAGGGCCCCATATTTTATGGAATGCTCAAATTGAAAAATTTTAGTTACAAAATGTGTACAAGCTTTCAGTATTAACCACTCCAAATATAAATACTTCCATAAATGAACTTTTTGTTACAACATAAAAACTTGCTGGAGGAAAAAAAATATAAATTTTGACCAGTAAAGCTGGGGGTATGTTTGATTGTGAATATGCTCACTGCGCCAATAAACCTGGCACTTTTTTTTGCACCAAACTTAGGTACTAAATCTCTACTGGAGCCGATTTGAAACCTTTGTGATGCGATGTAAAGAAGAATGAAATGACTTGTTTCTTTGGTGCAGCCTCTGTTGAGAGACCTTCGATAACACCTGCGCGCAGAAAATTAGACCAGTTGGTGCGGCATCTGTGGCAAGAGGCTTCATCCAGTAGTAGTCGTCCGGTTCCACAAGGCGCTGCGGGCACATCTGTCTTGCTGGCTGCCTGCCGTCAGGGCGATGTTGGCAGGGTCGTTCAGTGCCTGTGTAAGTCATTTTTTTTATTACTGTTGTAAGACTAATGGCTTGTGTTTGATGTGTTGTTTACGGCATAGCTTCTTCTGAACCTGTGTTGTTGAAGGAGGAAAAAAATTGTTTAATGTAGCTGATCATACTTGCACAATGCAGTAAATACTTTATAATTCAAACTCATTTAGTTTGATGTCCCACCTGATTCAAAGGTTTGTGCAGTCTCACATTTTCTAATATAAATTTAACTTTATCCGAAGTGATGGCCGGCACCAGCTTGGTTAGTTTGAAGATTTTGGCTACCTATTAGCAATACCCAAACCAGATTTTCCCCCAAACTTCGTGTAAATGATGTTACTTTGGAGATTTGAGGCAGTGCCACAGCAATGTTTGGTAGGTTGACCTACCCTGCCTTGTTGCTGCTAGCCAAACTGCTGTGCAAAATCTGGTTCACGGAACGCCTCACAAATCATGAAATGGACTTTAAGAAGAAATTATATTGGCACTAGTATGCCCTATGGCACGATAAATTGAATAAAATATATACTATTTTTTCTTGTATATAACCTAAACAAAAAAAACAAAACTGAGAAATGTGGTTAAAAAGTGGAAGTGTGGGTTGTATCGGGGGATATATGCCTATAAATATATTTTTTCTAAAGTTAGGAGTGTGGGTTATACAGAGGGGTAGCTTATGTGCAAGAATACATGTTAAAGGGACACTAAAGGCAAAGGACAATTTGTCAGAGTGAAAGCTCAGTGTGTGACGTCAAAAATGGCGATATTATGAACTGCATTGCCTCACAAAGAAATTAAGCTAAATGTATCACACGATGTGTGCTACGAGTGGGAAACATGCGAAATGAACCCAATGATGTGAGAGTTTCCCGACTACAATTAATCACAAGTAATCAAACTAGCTGCAATAAAAAAAGAACTTTCAGTGCATCAAGAGAAGCAATAAAATGCTGCTTGTCAGTTGCTGTTTGATATATTGTCACGTAATCGTGACGTCGCCAAAGACAGAAAGCTTCGTGTTGGGATTTAACTGTTTATTTGGGCGAACCTGTGCCCGGTAAAGGGAAAGCCTAATTACAGCAGCAGTCTTGCACAAATAGCAGTCTCGGACTGATAGCGGCGAACGCAGCGTCGGCCTTCGATCAACAACTGACAAGCGGCGAAGCGCGTCGGCATTTATACCCTTGCCGTCGAATGTTCTAGCGTTATCGCTGGCGGTGGCGTAGGTTCCAGAACAATCTGTACCGTTCGCACAGTGGGCGTGATCTTATCGAAATGATCTACTACAGTCCGGAACCTTCTAGAAACCTGCAGGCGCGGTTTGCGCCGAGAATCGTGTGGTGTTTCGGAACGATAACAAAAACTTGTGAAATGGAACGTGGCATTGCCCCCCTCTGAAAAAAAGGCATCGTCCCGATGCTTTAACTAAAGATGAAGGTACAATAATAATGCAAGAAAGTACAATCAATAAATTACAATACAACAATAATACAAAAAACACTGTTTCAGTTTGTTAACGTGCATGAAACGGCTTGAGGCGCGCGACATGGACGACTTCAGGTCGCGATCGGCGTCGTTGAGAGTTCGTGATGCCGTCGGGGACAACCTCGTAATCAAGTGGGCCGAGACGTCCAACCACCTTGTACGGTCCGAAGTACCGTCGCAGAAGCTTTTCACTTAGTCCACGTCGGCGTATCGGCGTCCACACCCAAACACGTTCACCGGGCTGGTATTCCACGAAGCGTCGTCGAAGGTTGTAACGGTGGTTGTCGGTCGTCTGTTGATTCTTGATACGAAGACGCGCAAGTTGTCGGGCTTCTTCGGCGCGTTGAAGGTACTCGCTCACATCGAGGTTTTCTTCGTCGGTGACGTTGGGTAACATGGCATCGAGCGTCGTTGCCGGGCTCCTTCCGTAGACCAGTTTGTATGGAGATATCTGCGTCGTCTCCTGCACCGCCGTGTTGTATGCGAAGGTCACATACGGAAGAATGGTGTCCCACGTCTTGTGTTCGACATCGACGTACATTGACAGCATGTCGGCGATCGTCTTGTTAAGCCGCTCGGTGAGGCCGTTGGTCTGTGGGTGGTACGCTGTCGTCCGGCGGTGATTTGTTTGGCTGTATGCCAAGATCGCTTGAGTTAAGTCGGCAGTGAATGCCGTTCCTCTGTCGGTGATAAGGACCTCCGGGGCGCCCTGACGTAGGACGATATTTTCGACGAAGAACTTAGCTACCTCGGATGCACTGCCTTTTGGCAGGGCTTTTGTCTCGGCGTAGCGGGTGAGGTAGTCGGTAGCTACCACGATCCACTTGTTTCCGAAAGCCGACGTCGGGAACGGCCCCAGTAGGTCCATACCAATCTGCTGGAAAGGTCGGCAAGGTGGATCAATTGGCTGCAGAAGTCCCGCTGGCCTTGTCGGCGGTGTCTTGCGTCGCTGACAGTCCCGGCATGTCCTCACATAACGAGTGACGTCAGTGGTAAGACATGGCCAGTAGTACCTTTCTTGTATCCTCGCGAGCGTGCGGGAAACACCGAGGTGCCCTGCCGTCGGATCGTCGTGCAGGGCCTGCAGGAGTTCTGGTCGCAGAGCTGAAGGCACCACAAGGAGGTACTTAGCTCGAAGCGGTGAAAAGTTTTTCTTTTGTAGAAGTCCGTTTCGTAGAAAGAACGATGCAAGTGCGCGCTTGAATACCTTTGGGACTTCGGCGGTCCTGCCTTCGAGGTATTCTATTAGGGCTTTAAGTTCCGGGTCGGCCCGCTGTCGTTCAGCGAAGTCGTCGGTAGTTATCGTTCCCAAGAAGTAGTCGTCATCCGAGTCGTCGGGTAGCGGTTGGTCGACAGGCGCACGAGAGAGACAGTCAGCGTCGGAGTGTTTTTTGCCGGACTTGTAAATGACAGTAATGTCATATTCTTGAAGTCTCAGGCTCCATCGTGCGAGGCGACCTGAAGGGTCCTTCAAGGTGGCTAGCCAACACAAGGCGTGGTGGTCGCTCACAACTTTGAAGGGCCTGCCGTAGAGGTAGGGGCGAAATTTCGACGTAGCCCAGATGATGGCGAGGCACTCCTTTTCTGTTGTGGAATAATTTGCTTCTGCTTTGGATAGCGATCGGCTGGCGTAACTAATAACCCTTTCAAGTCCGTCAGCCCTCTGCACAAGAACGGCGCCAAGACCTACGCTGCTTGCGTCAGTATGTATTTCTGTCTCGGCGAATTCGTCGAAATGGGCAAGTAACGGAGGCGTCTGGAGGCGATGTTTAAGCTCCTGAAAAGCGTGTTCCTGTGGCGTTTCCCACTTAAACTCAACGTCGGCCTTGGTAAGGTTAGTGAGAGGATCGGCGATGCGGGCGAAGTTTTTCACGAACCGCCTATAATAGGCACACAGGCCCAGAAATCGGCGCACGGCTTTCTTGTCAGTGGGCGGCGGGAAGTCGGCGATAGCGGCTGTTTTCCGTGGATCGGGACGAACTCCAGACTTGCTGATAACGTGCCCCAGAAACAAGAGCTCCTCATACGCAAATCTGCACTTTTCTGGCTTCAGTGTGAGTCCGGACGTCTTGATGGCTTGAAGTACAGCTTCAAGGCGCCGAAGATGCTCGTCGAAACTCGAGGAAAATACGACGACGTCGTCCAAGTACACAAGGCAAGTCTGCCACTTCAATCCTGCCAGTACTGTATCCATAACGCGTTGAAAAGTTGCAGGCGCTGAGCAAAGACCGAAGGGCATCACCTTAAACTCGAAGAGGCCGTCCGGTGTTATAAACGCCGTCTTCTGTCGGTCTCTTTCGTCGACTTCGATTTGCCAATAGCCAGTCTTGAGGTCCATTGACGCGAAGTACTTGGCGTTATGGAGCCGATCAAGGGCGTCGTCTATTCGTGGGAGAGGATAGACGTCCTTTCTTGTGATTTTGTTCAGGCGGCGATAATCGACGCAGAAACGTAGGGTCCCATCCTTTTTCTTCCCTAACACCACGGGGGATGCCCACGGACTCTTGGACGGCTGGATAATGTCATCTTGCAGCATTTCATCAACTTGTCTCTTCATTGCCTCACGTTCTCGCGTCGAAACTCTGTACGGACTCTGACGGAGTGGTCTGGCATTTTCTTCGGTTATGATTCGATGTTTCGTGATTGGGGTCTGCCGAATTTTCGATGACGACGAAAAGCAATCTTCGTATTGCAGGAGCAGGGCCTTAAGCTGTTCTTGCTTATCGTTCGGAAGTCTGGGATTGACGTCGAAAGCTATGGGAGGGGCTTGGTTCCTCTGAGCAGGTTCCGCAGAATCAGCGAGGGCGAAAGCACTGGTGGCTTCGACAATTTCTTCGATGTATGCGACCGTTGTTCCTTTGTTCACATGTTTGTACTTATTGCTGAAATTCGTGAGCATAACCGTTGCTTTGCCTCCCCGCAGCTCTGCAATTCCTCTTGCGACGCAAATATTTCGGGTGACCAACAGATGCTGACTGCCTTCAACGACGCCTTCCAAGTCAGGTGATTTAGGAGCGCCGACTGAAATAATGACGCTTGAGCGAGGCGGAATGGTGACTTGTTCTTCCAGCACATTCAAGGCATGGTGTCCTGACGGCGTGCGCGGCGGTAGTGCTTCTTCTGTGGATAACGTTATCGACCTTGTTTTTAGGTTGATGACAGCACCATGGAGGCATAAGAAGTCCATGCCAAGGATGACATCTCTCGAGCAACGCTGTAGGACTACGAAGTCTGTAGGATAAATGCGGCCGTTAATGGTGACTCTCGCTGTGCAGATTCCTGCAGGCGTTACGAGATGACCTCCGGCTGTGCGGATTTCAGGGCCTTTCCAAGCTGTCCTAACTTTCTTTAACTTCGCGGCGAACGACCCACTGATGACAGAATAGTCGGCTCCAGTATCGACGAGAGCAGTCACACTGTGGCCGTCGATAAGAACGTCGAGGTCGCTAGTTCGCCGTCTCGCATTACAGTTAGGGCGTGGCGTCGTGTCACGGCTGCGTCGGCTTGTTCCGCTGCTTCCATGTTGCGTCGTACGGCCACCTTCGGTAAGTGAGCTTTTGCCTTCAGGGTTTTGCCTGGTTGGGGTTGTGTTCAAAAAGCTCCGTCGCGTCGTCGTCGTCGTCGGAGGATCTTCGGTAGTTCGTCGCACAGCAACCGCACCTCCATCGGTTGCTGCCCTTAGTTTCCCGGATACGGGCTAGGAGACCGGCCCCGCGTTGGGCCAGAGTACTGCCGGGGGTGCGGTGACATGCGGCGGCTGGGCGACGGCGAACGGGAAGGACTTCGTGGTGTCCATTGAGTTCCTGCCAGGTAGTCGGCGATGTCACGTGGCCGATCTCCTGGCTGCGGACGCGGTGCATTGACGGCGAAGCCACGCAGTCCCATCTGGCGGTACTGGCAACGGCGGTATGTGTGTCCGGCCTCGCCGCAGTGGTAGCAGAGCGGGCGATGGTCAGGGGTGCGCCAGACGTCAGTCTTCCTCGGTGCACTGCGCTGGCCCGCTGGGGAACGGTAGGACGTCGGTTGGGGTGGTGGCGGCGGTGGCGTCTGGCGACGGAAGTGTGACGGGGCGGCGTTTTGGCGTGGACGGGGAGGAGCGTTGCGGCGCACTGCAGCGGCGTAGCTCATAGTTTCTGGCTCGGGCGGCGGTGTTTCGGGAATTCGAAGTGATTGCCGGACTTCTTCTCGCACAATGTCGGCGATCGAATCCACTTGAGGCTGCGCCGAAGGCAACAGTTTGCGCAGCTCTTCCCGCACGATCGCTCGGATCGTTTCACGCAGGTCGTCGGAGTCACTGGCTTGAGCAGCAGCGCATTCTGGAGTCAGGCGACGATTATACTGTCTGGTGCGCATGTCCAGCGTTTTTTTCGATGGTGGTCGCCTCGGATACAAATTCTTGGACGGTGTTCGGTGGATTCCTCATTAGTCCCGCGAAGAGCTCCTGTTTGACCCCTCGCATGAGGAAACGAACTTTCTTTTCCTCAGGCATGTCTGGGTCAGCGTGACGGAATAGGTGGGTCATCTCCTCTGTGAAAATTCCAACCTTTTCATTTGGTAGCTGAACCCGGGTCTCGAGTAGAGCAGCGGCCCTCTCTTTGCGAGCGACGCTTGCGAACGTTTGAAGAAATGCGCCGCAGAAGACATCCCACGTTCGGAGCGTGGACTCCCGATTCTCTAGCCAGGTCCTTGCGGTGTCTTCCAGGTAGAAGTACACACGACGGAGCTTTTCTTCGTTGTCCCAGTGGTTGAGTGCGGCCACACGGTCGTATGTTTCTAGCCAGGGTTCCGGGTCTTCGAACGATGAGCCATGGAACGTTGGTGGTTCCCTGGGTTGATGAATGACGATCGCGGGCTGGGACGCTCCGGTTGTCATTGTCGCTGCAGTCGAGGTCATGGTCTTGGTCTTCCGCGCCTTGTCTTGTAGCAGGCCGTACTCCGGTGGGAGACCTTGCTGTCGGCGGCTCGTTCGCTGCTCTTGGTTGGCGTCGGTGTCTTCTCCGCGAAGGGGGCTGGGTTCACGGCTTGACGGGGGCGTCCGGTACATGAACGAAGCAGCACCTCCACCAGATGTCACGTAATCGTGACGTGGCCAAAGACAGAAAGCTTCGTGTTGGGATTTAACTGTTTATTTGGGCGAACCTGTGCCTGGTAAAGGGAAAGCCTAATTACAGCAGCAGTCTTGCACAGATAGCAGTCTCGGACTGATAGCGGCGAACGCAGCGTCGGCCTTCGATCAACAACTGACAAGCGGCGAAGCGCGTCGGCATTTATACCCTTGCCGTCGAATGTTCTAGCGTTATCGCTGGCGGTGGCGTAGGTTCCAGAACAATCTGTACCGTTCGCACAGTGGGCGTGATCTTATCGAAATGATCTACTACAGTCCGGAACCTTCTAGAAACCTGCAGGCGCGGTTCGCGCCGAGAATCGTGTGGTGTTTCGGAACGATAAGAAAAACTTGTGAAATGGAACGTGGCAATATAGAGAAAAGAACTGCTTAACTTTATGGGGAATGGCACGAGTGGTTCAAAAATTCAATTTTTTGCTGGTTAGGCTGGATAGGTGGTGTCATCTGGCAGGGCCCACTTGAACCAAGAAAGCAGAATCATGGCCTCTGAGGTTGCAGAATATTGTGCTATTCTGGTACTGGTGTCGGCGGCCGCATAGTAAAGAGTGGCAATGTTAGGCACGGTAATAGTGACATCTGCAAGACCGCTTAGAGGTGCGGGTAATTTGAAGTGCGCTAATGCGATGCAGACCATGAAAACATAATTTAATTTTAAAATAAGCACTTTCTTAGCACTAAACTAGCCCTACGGGGTGTCTAGACCACTATTTCAACAATCAGTGTCGACTTAATATTTGCCTTTAGTGACTCTATGAATCTTCCGCATGAAGTCCAGAAGTAATTGAGCCAACTAGTGTGGCTGTGAGACTCTAAGGGCAGGCTTTTGTGTAACTGATGGTTGCATTATCTCAGGCGAGTTAGCGGCAGTTGTCTCTTGCCTGTGTCTCAAAGGTGCACTGACACAGATTTGAGAAAATGTTATATTGTTGCTCTTATATATTGTTGCTTTATATTGTTGTTCAAGAGCACTAAAATGTGTATCGTAGTTGCCGCAAACGCATTTAAAGGGTCACTAAAGTGAAATTATTGCTTTGTTTAGATTGATACACTTTACTCTGAGAAGTCTAATCTCATAAGTTTTACCATCATAAGTTCATTTTTAGAGGAAAAAGTCAAGGTTGAAGTGTAACTTTTAAATTTCGTGCTGAAATTTTCGCACATGACGTCATGCATGTGGAAATGTATTTTTCGTATTTTCGCGACATTGGCTTGGTGAAATTTTTGAAACTTTGTACATTGAGCCTGTGGGCCCCACAGATGACAATGTATTGATTATTATCGATTAGGAGCATGTATGACCTAGTAGATACCATCAACATTTTCTGCGTCACGGTATTTGGTGTGAAAATGTTGTCTCCACTGCAATTTGCACGCTTATCAAGCGTCATCTTGCTATAAGAGGGGCTGTAAGGAATGTGGAATTATACACTAGTAATACTTGAAAAAATCGTTTTTCACTTTAGTGTTCCTTTAATGTACTTTTTATACCACACCCTTAAAAATCTCTTGGTTTCAATATCGAGAGAGTGGTATTACAGTGACGTATAAGCACTGTGTGATGTATGTCCTAGTTACATGTGGACAGCAACTCTTGTTTTTTTTTCTGCATCACTTTGTTTGCTGTTGGGCATACATGTTGCATGTAAACAATGAAAGGTAATTTAGACATTCAGTAGCTCAGAAAGCGATTTCGGCTGCATCGAGAACGTAGAGTTGACAAATCTAGTGAACTGTTCACTAGGCATGATAAACTGATAGTGTCCATTGTGGTGGGGTTGTTTTACAGATGCTTGGCGATGAAAACTTTCTAATGAAAGTAAAATATCTTAAAAGTGTTTCCTGGCTACGGTGTGTAGGTAGCAATGACACTACATGAACACTACATGCCAAGAAAACAAAAAATATCATTTTTGCAGGGTCACAAAATGCTGTTGGTTCCGTCTAAGCCATGGCGGAGTTTTCTGCTGTTAATACAGCAGTTTCTGCATCAACAAGAACAGCTTTTTTAGGGGATAGTGCTTATGCATATTTAGTTTAATAGGAATTTATTGCGTGAGGTTAGTTTGTATTTTGGTCAGAATATTACCCAAAAATGCTGATTGCTATCATGCAAGACAATAGAACTTATATAGGAGGCGTGTGAAGATATATTGCTGATCAGAAAAGGGAGGGGCACTGGGTTGGGTAAAATTGTCAGTCCACCTGAATCTTTAGCTTAATTCCAACTTTGTAGAACAGAGGTACAGTCGAACTCCGCTACAACGAATGCCGCTTCAATGAAATTTCCGCTACAATGAAAAATTCTCGGTTTTCTCGTGACCAGTCTATAGGAGTTGATGCATAAATATTTTCCATAACAAACATTTTTCCTTTTGCCATTCTGCTTCAATGAAATTTGACGATAAAATTCCAGGCTCAGATACTTAATGCTGTGCAGTAAACACATTCTTGACCATTTTTATGCATTTCCAGAACATGAAAATACGTCGAGGAAGTCTAAAACAAGTGTTGGCGCCTACAGAAACTGCCGCTGCTAAACGTGTGGGCCACCATTGCTTGCTTGCTTCTAGCTGCAGCTCAGTCGCTCAGCTCAGAGTTTTGTACTCGCAGATGCTGGGAACAATTGTGGAACGGTGCTTTTTCCGATGCCAATGCTTTTGGCTCTTTTCATACTTGGCCAGTGTGGTCAACGGTCAGAGCGGCTGCTCATCCGCGTTATGAACAAAATCAGCCAGCCGGGACTGGTTGATAATAAGACTAGCATAGAATATGACATAAGTTGTCACCACTCCACGATACCACACCTCCATTTCGGTGTTGTCGGATACACTTTGACGATGGACAGCTGTGTTAGCGTGTTAGTGCAACTGTTAGATTCATTCACGAAAGTCATTGTGGCCCTTGTTTCAGTGTGCTCTTTACCAGGGTGTTGCTATGCATGGGGGAATATTTCGTTGTGACTCCTTTCAAAAAGAAAAGGAAGCAGCCAACACTTCTTTAATTTAAGTAATAAAAGTTGCTTTGTTTTGCTAGCTCAGGTCAGCTATATTTTTTCTGTGCCCTGTCAGTTACATTGTAGCGAGGTTCGACTGTACTACTAAGTTTTAATGGGAATATTTGAATAGTAGCTTGTCTGCTTTATGCCTAAGATACTATTTTAGTGTGCTATGTATTATTCTATTCTGTATTGTATAGCAATATTACATTGTGTCTTTATCATGTGTTTCAATGTGCTTTATTTATAGCCAAAGTGTTCTCCTGCTAGTAACTTCTGGAAAACTAGTGACCCTAAATATTATTTCTGTTAACATAAGTGCACTACTGTCTGCAAACTTATGGTATGCCTTGCTCTGACAGCTGGCCGCGAAATTGGCCCAGCAGACTCTGGAGCTTTGCATGCAGCTGCGCAAGGAGGACATCTAATCTTGGTTCACATGCTCGTCAAGGTTTGAACTGTCTTGTTACTTTTTTATATAAGATGGCCTATATTTTGCAATTAGACTGTTTGTTTCGGATGTCCATATGTTGCACGGTGTCCCAACGCTCATATGTTGCTTTTTGCTGTTCTAAATTTATTAAAGGGGCCCTGTTTTTTAAGTGGACCTGGAATGAATTCACTAGAGGAGCTTATTTGCTCAGGAATTTCCCAGCTTCAAAAATTTTTAGAATCTGTCTACCACAAGTGGAGTTACAAAGATTTGTTGCATGCGGCAATTTGTGGTGAGCTCGCTACTCACCGTAACACTGCGGGCTCAGGCTTAGCGAGCCACAGGGCTGTGTCTCTTTCACCTGCTCACGTGTAGCGCACGGCTCCGTGTACGCTCAACTAACAAAGCATTTAGCGCGGTGCGGTAAAACAGACAGTGTTTGATTCATAGCAACGCGCAAACACTATATTGCCTTTGGCGGCACCCCGAACAACATACAACGTCCGCTCCCTAGACGCGGGGAGCAAAGGCTCCCGCACGCGGATCTTCACAATAAAGAGCAGACCGCGAACATGTTGCAGCTGGCAATCGCGAGCTTTGACACGCCGGTCAAGAAAGGTCCCTCGCGGCTATGTTGCGCACTCTTATGATCTGGGATTGGTCGCAAGAGTTAGAGCAAACCTTGTTCACGTAGGCCTATGGCTAGAGCGGCTTGGCGTGGTGCGACCACTTCGAGCACTAGGCACTGCTGATTGGCGTAGTGTATGGTACTGAAACTAAAACTCGGGTAAACTCGGCCGCCGAGGATGCCTAGGCACCCAAGCAGGCTATAGTCCGGTGATTCCCGAAGGGGACGCGGACGAAGGGAAACCACGTGCTTACTGGGCGCTGGCCAACAAAGGAGAGGCCCTTCCCGGTGCGCACGTGACTCGGCCTCGCTAATTCTTGCAGCCCCTGAGAACACGCGTCGCGCCCGCGCATGGCGCGCTGTTACGAGAGCACGAGAAAAGAAAAGGAGCGGCCGTACGGCGAAATGCCTGTGAAACGGTCGCGGGCGTATTTCTGATTTCCACAAACTGCATTCTTTTTTCTCTCATCCCGATGAAAGCCGAGGAACCTATGCCTCCGAGCACAGCGTGTCGCGGAGTCTCCCGCGATTGGTGGTATCTAAGCAGGGAGGAATGGCATGGGGGAAGAAAGTAGATCATGCGTGACTCAAAACCTTCAGCACTTTTCCTCTTTTTTTTTCTTCAAATATGTGGCTTTTCAGTGCGATCGCGCGCGCACGCGTGGAAAAGTCAGAGCCTGCTGTGGCGGGCCCCGTAACAACCGAGTGCGCCATGCTCAAATCAGCCAATGGCTCATACAATGGCTGTGACGAGTGATTTTCGAGCTTGTTCCATGATTCGTCGAGAGAAGCAAAAGCAATTTTAGGCTGACTTTGAGAATTCATTGTGAATTAAAGGCCACGGGCTGTGCTATAATATGTGGCTCACGTGTTCTTGGGAGCTTCGATTGTCTATAGGCAGCGTTTTTTGACAACTCTAAAAAAAAAAAAAAAAAAAAAGCCGTTAGGCCTGCGTGAAACCTGTGCAGCACAATGGCAGTGAAAACTGGAAGAGCAACCTTTCTAGAGCCTTTTTTAAACAACTGTTTAGGTAGCTGCTACAAGCACACTTGGAGGGTATCCACTGTGTCATAAATTAACATAATTTTTCTATATAGGGAGGCATCCACTATGCCATTCTTCGGAGAAGTGTGACACCCGCTAATCACTTGCAAGAAATTATGTGCATTTTGTTGATGCTAGTGGCTGTCGACAATGAAGAATTACTCCTGAGCTTTTTGTAATGAGTTGGAGCATTCGTCGACCCACTCGTTACACAATTCATATTGTGTGATGCTTGGTAGTTCTGCTGCTGTTGTCACATGCTTTATTACACATATTAATGCGATTTCATACCTGACATGAAGCCTGCATAGGGTCACTTCGCAACGAAGTATCAAGCATCGGCGTAGCTCAGTGGTAGAATACTGGGCTGGCACGCAGGGGACCTGCGTTGGAGTCCCTATCTGTCCTCTATGCTTGTTATTTATTTAGTTATGTTCTTATTTCCGTGCGACACTATTTACGGACACCAGCGAAGGCGGAGAACAACGACGTGCCAAAAATGACTTTTGTGATCTCAGAACAGCTTTCACTGTTAAAGTATTTCAGGGCCCTATAATATAAGCCATACCGTATTTACTCACAAAATCTTCGCACTTTTTTTGGGCGGAAAACCAATGCAAAGTTAGGGGGTGCAAAAATTACACGGTGAAAACTTTCTGCGAAAACGTACTGAGTGAAAAAGAAAAATAAGTGAATCTGGAGTCTCACGCCAGCAACTAACTGCAAGCTTTGAAGAGTATTAAAATAGACTTACCTCATACAATATAAGCACAGGTTCAACATGAGGCAAGATTATTTCAGACACAAAAGATGCAAGCAAATAGTCGAGAATTAGAATACTATTTGCAAATCTTGTGGACGTTGCGGGCATAGCGGTAGGGTTCCTCACTCAACAGGAGCCCGCAAAGGGTTAGCGTATGACGTCAGTGTTGGGCTGATGGTCATTTAAGGGGGGAGGCTACACTTGATGGGCAACTTTTTTGTTTATGTATAGATCTGAATGAAATTTTCAGTCTGTGTATTTAGATGCGCAGATTCTAAAAATGTAATTACTTTTTGATAGGCTCAAGTAGTTTCCAAGATACTCCACGATTAGTGTAAAACCTGGGCCCTTTGTTTGCAGCCTAATTAGCATCTAAGCAGGAAGCATCAAAACACTGGCGACAGTGTAGAAACAATGTAGGATGTTTAAGGAGTGAAATATGTTATAAATCAATTTGCTGGGCCAATTTCAGCAAGAGTTAGAGGACATTGATGTTCAGAGAAAAAAAAAAAGCCACCCTCACTTGTCACACATGTGACCCAATAAATTTTTTTTCTTTGATACTGTGAACAGGTAGGAAATTGATGAAGGCATCCTATCACTGCCACCAGTTGTAAAGGGCTTGAGGTCGATGGCAGGAACGGTGGGCTTCTTTAAGGTAGCTGGCTTCCCGCCGTCGTCCGCATAGCCAATCTTCGCCATTGAGGGGACGCGTTAAGAGAGGTAGAACGAAGATTTATTTACATAATATGAGAAAAATGAGAACTGTACAGGGGATTCAGAAGATTCCGCATTATGTACAACAGAGATTCAGTTTGATTCAGCACATGATTCCGCTCGTGATTTACAAAATGCTTTGGCTTTTATAGCCGCCGTCTCCTTTACACCGAGATCCGAAGAAGGCGGTGAGCACTCTCGCCACAAATCAGGTGACGAAGTTTGAATGGTCCAATGGGAGCACGAGCGCACCACACAATGACGCACCCGGCCCCCGCCTTGAAGGCGTCGCAGGGCGATGAGGTAGAGTCCGGAGAGGGAAGGTTGAGCTCCTCCGGGGAGATGGCCGCTAACCCGAACGTCAGCAGCGGTACATGCTGCTTTCAGCTTCAGGTAGTCCGAACGCTCGATCCCTGAGAACGGCTCCCTCGACGTCTTCCCACGCTTCCGGGCTGTCGGTGCTTTGCGATGTCCTCGCGTAGATGACAATAGTTAAGTCAAGAGGTTGCCTTAATGAGACCAGCCACAGTGGCACCGTCCCCCCCCTCTGTTCCAGTCCGTTCAACAAAAGGCTTGTCTCACGAAGCTTTCGTTGAGACCCGACTGCTTCCTGGAACATCTACAGTACAGCGTCTTGCAGACTGGGCGCCGATGGGGTTGAAAGCCTCCCTAGTAGACCGGCTTACGCACAATGACGTCTGCCCAAAGCAATTGCCGGGCCAAATGTAATCCGTATATTGCTTTCAAAATAAGAATGTTGCATACTGCATGCATCTTTCTGGCAAAAAAAGAATTATGCTGATAGCTTGAATAGAACAGAAGTTATTTTCCCTCCAACTTGGCAAATGTTCCGATATTGATGTTTTCAGAAAACAAGGAAAAACATTTGAGAACACCTTTATTGAAAAATTACTAATAAAATCTCGCGAAAATGCACCAGGGGCATAATCTGGATGCATCCCATCCTTATGCTTCTTGACCAGCTTTCTCAGACTTTGGGACGCTTCTTTCTATTTATTTGAGGTTGCACTCTGACGACAGTCCTCCTCCCTAGCCCTCAGAGATGTGCTGCTGAATATTGGGATGTCCAGCTGCTCTAGAAATTGCAGCAAATGTATTGACATTGCCTGTGTTGAAATACAGCACAGCTTCTGCAGCAGCCGCTTGCTCAACAAAAACAGAAGCATGCTGCTCCTTTGATACCAAACTCCAAATCACAGATAGAAGCTTTCATGGGAATTCTGAGTTTTGCCTTGCTGGCATCTTGCCTCGCTGCCGCACCACTTGACCCCAAAAAGCGCTCAATTTTTCGCGCTTGTTGTGGACATTGACGAAAGACCCTCAAACGTTATGGTAGTCTCGCGGGCGCGCACGTCTCGTGAACTTCACTGGCATTGATCACATCAGCGTCTACCCTGCACACGGCCGGAGTCGATATAGCGCGCGCTGTCAGGGAGGCCTGTGTCTATGCGCACTTCATTGTTGCCGATAGCATTGGCGCAGTTTTAATTCACAGAGTGTCCGCTATTCGGGGAAGCCGTCTTGCACACTCCTTATTTGATAACATCTTCAGTACACGGGTGGCCAGTGTCCATGCCGCGTACGACGGCGTTATCAAACAATGGGCGCTTGCTTCCTTGACAGCAGTATCAGCACCATTGGGCTTTCTGCCTTTCATACGTGAACGGTAAAAATGATGCTGCGATCGGAACTTTTTTGCACCGCCGGGCATAGCGAGACGCACAAGCACGTTAGGGATACGAGTCACGACACCATCGCAAGGGCGATACCCTTTCAAAATGGCTGCAGTCACTGCCAGGGAGTTTTCCAGGCCAATCGGGAAGCGCCATTTTGGTCACGTGCATC